ATTGGGAGTCTACCTTAACTTCTGCAAACCTTTGTGGGAAAGAAATAGGTGGGGTATAGGGAGGAGGAGCAACGATACGTGATTCCTTCTCTACCTCTTCGACAACCTCCCTTTCGGTTGGTGTCGGTGGATTTTTCTCAATATGTATGCTTTTCTCACCAAAACTCTCCTCAGGCTCATCATCAATCTCCTTAGGATCTTCTATTTGTTCTTCATTAACGGTTGTTACAACATTCACATGTCCTTCTGGGAAGGGTCCTAGAGGTGTTTGTCTAAGAAGGGAGGTTTGAGTCTCCAAAGTCTCGCTGTGAGTTGCGAGGGAATCGATAATAACGTTCATCTGCCTAAGGTCTTCATTAATTTGGAGATGTTGTTTTCTAAAATCTTCGTTTTGGAGAGTTTGTGTTTCCACAAAGCGCTCCATCATAGATTCTATCCTAGAATGAGTAGACGTCTCATTGAATTCTTCTAGTAGTAGTTCGAGGTTGGATGTATCAAAATCTTGCGTTTCCTCAAAACATTGGGAGTCGTCATCAAAGGGGGAATTTGGGTGAGAGTGCGTAGTATTGAAATCTTCTAATAATATTTCGAGGTCGGATTTAAGCGGAATTTGTGGTTCCTCGAAATATTGGGGGTGGTAGTTATAATATGGAGGGTGGTAGTTATAAGGGAAATATAGGTTATACATAATGATTTAGATAAGAGTGCCTTAGTCTATACTATGCAACAACGGAATCACAATATTGACTGTTGGTCCCCGGCAACGGCGCCAAAAACTTGATCGCTCCCCAAGTGCACGGAAATATCGAAGTAATATAAAAGATTGTCGAACCCACAGAGACCAATGTCAATCTACCGTTATCTATTATTACGGCATAAAGCTAAGGCTATTGGAATTAGGAAAATTGAATGTGAATGAAATTAAATGCAAAAGAAATAAAGAAAATTGGTTTAGAGAAATGCGGTAAAGGATATCGGTATGCAAAGACTTAGTTATCTGGGATTCGACAGGTCACCGATGCTTCTTACTCTTTGCAAACATTGTTCAGAAGAAAATAGTGATCTGAAGACTCTCGTCTCACGATGGTTATTGACGCTAATCATAATTCTAAGGGCCAAACGTACGCTTTCACTGTCCCATTCGGGGTTAAAACTACTTTTTGGAAATCTCTAGGTTCTAATCCATTTTAAAGTGCTTTCGCTGTTATTAAAACAAATGCCTAGTGTTTACTATCTGGTCTTGCCGCAGCTTTCGCTTGTTGGTTCGTACCTTAATTAATTTCCCACTTTCGTGGCAAAACTACTTTTAAATAATTTCTCGCTTTCGCGACGAAGTTTATTCAGTAAATAAATTTAAACACTACGGCCAGAAAGGTTGTTTGTAAAAAGGGAAGATGCCGGTTACTATCGAATCCTATCCTACTAATTCGGTTACATACCGATAAAACTAACTTAGCCAGACATGATAATTAATGCGAACGGAAATAGACATAAACAACGGAATAATAAAGCGTGCATCATAACAGAAATAAAGTAGTAATTCAATTAATAAAAACCTGTAAATTGTACTGATCTCAAATCCTTGGGTAGTCCCCCACAATGTCGGCAGGATTCTACTTTGGCGAGAAATAAAAGGTACATGAAGAAAATACAATATTCTGAACTGAAGGAAAATGGAAAGGAAAATAAAAGTAACGATAAATAACTTTGATGGAACTTTGGCAGAACTTCGGGATGAAGAATCCACACCTTTCTCTATGAATCTCTTGTCTATTTATAGGAGATGTTTCTTATCTCAACTTCCTGAGATCATGCGTGAGATATGGAGAAAGTGGTGGTAACTTCCAGTAGTGGGCAGTGAGTGGAGAAAGTGTAGTAACTTCCAGTAGTGGGCAGTGAGTGGAGAAAGTGTAGGAAGGATTTAAGTTGAGATTGATCGTGAATTCTGATTCTGCGTTTTTTGTCTGCGTGACGGTCGTCATGAAATGTGACGGTCGTCACACGCATGACGGTCGTCATGGACCTGTGACGATCGTCACAGCAGCAGAATCCGTATCTGCTGTTTTTCATCTATTTTTCACCCGTTTTTCATCTGTTTCTTCTCCTTTTCTTTCTTTAGTCCAAATTCTCCCTAATCTGCAAAACGAAGTAAATTAATCATATAATAGAACATAAATCAAGATAAATTAATAAAAGTCACAAATAAATGCATGTAAATCAAGCCAAATAAACGATATGATTTCGCGTTATCAACCTATCAACCCTAAATCCAATGGTGTAAATAGGTATTTCATAACCATTGCAGGTGACTTTAGTAGGAAAAAAATGAATTTACTTCCTTCATTAAAAGGCTAGTGCATTTGATGTTTTCAAAAAATTCAAGGCACTGGTGGAAAAAGAGTTAGGTCATCATGTCAAATGTCTTAGGGTGGATAGAGGGGGTGAATTTACATCCATTGGATTTGCTCATTTTTTTAGTCTTTATGGAATCAAGAAGTAATTGAGCATTGGCTACACTCCACAAAAAATGGAGTATTAGAAAGGAAAAACATGGCATTGATGAATGAAATCAGAAGCATGATAGGCATAAAGGAATGTTCCTAAAAATTTCTGGATGGAATCAACAAAATGGGCAACCTATACACTCAACAGAAGTCTTATGCTATATGTGAAGGACATGACTCCAGAGGAATCCTGGAATGGTGTGAAGGCTTCAGTTTATCATTTCAAGGTGTTTGAATGTATAGCTTTTGTGCACATTCTTGATGTACAAAGAAAGAAGCTAGATGTCAAAAGCATCAAGTGTGTACACTTGGGAATGAGTGAAGAATCCAAAGGCTACAAGCTTTATGATCCGATAGAGAAGAAAATTATAATAATTAGAGATGTAGTATTTGAGGAATCAAAATATTGGAAGTGAAATAAGAGTCACAAGAAGAATGCAGAATTAACTAGCAATGTTGAACAATGAAGAAGAAAACAATGAATCTAATGATGCCTTAATATATGAAGAGATAGACATTGATAATGATCCTCAATATGAAAGGAACAATGTAGAACATGAAAAGTGGCAATGATTCTCTCACATATGATGAAGCAGTACAACATGAAAAGTGGAGAAAAACAATGAATTAAGAGATTCATTTTATTGAGAAAAATCACACATGGAATCTAGTCAACATACCACTAGGAGTTAAGAAGATTGGTGTGAAGTGGATTTACAAGACATAGTGCGATGAAAAGGGAGAGGCTGAGAAGCATAAGACAAGATTTGTGACCAAAGGATACTCACAATAATATGGCATAAACTACAATGAAGATTTTGCTCCCATGGCAAGATGGGACACTATTAGAGCTATTATAGCCCTTATAGCTTACAAGAATTGGAAAATTTACCAACTTGAATCAAAAGTGCATTTTTGCATGGTGAATTGATTGAAGATGTCCATGTGGATCAACCCTTAAGCTATGAGAAAAGAGGAAGAGAAAAAGTTTATAAATTGAGGAAAGATCTTTATGGCTTTAGACAACCACAAATGGTCTGGTACAAAAAAATTGAATCTTACTTATGTCATGAAAACTTTGAAAAGTGTCCTCATAAACATACATTATTTGTGGAGTATAATGTATGCAACATCTTAATTGTTAATCTGTATGTAGATGACTTGATTTACACTGGTCACAATGAGGAATTGTTTGAAGTTTTCAAAGAATCAATGAAAAATAAAATTTCCATGACAGATCTCGACAAGATGAGGCATTTTCTAATAGTGGAGGTAAAACAAGAAAATGAAGAGATATTCATATATCAACAGAAATATGCAAAGAGATTTTTATAAGATTGATATGTATCAACGTAACAAGGTGTGTAATCCCATTGTTCTAGGATGTATGCTAATAAAGGATGAACATGACAAGTCTGTCAATGTAACAAATTACAAGCAAATGGTAGAATGCTTGACGTACATGCTTGCAACAAGACCTGATCTAACATATTCAGTGTGCTTGGTGGCTAGGTATATAGAAAGACCAACTAAGATTCATCTGGGTGCAACAAGAAGAATCCTTAGATAATTGAAGGGAATAATGAACCTTTGTATCCTATGCAAGAGAAGTAATATGGTTGAGCTACAAAGTTGGTCACACCCAGTATGTAGGAGATAATGATGACAGGAAAAACACTTCAAGTTATGTGTTCATGCTTGGTTCATGATCAATTTCTTGGTCTTCAAAGAAACAACCCATAATTACTCCATCTACCACTACACTAAATTTGTAGCAGCAATCTCATGTGTTTACCAAGGCATGTGGCTTTAAAACATTCTCCATCAATTTGGACAAACTTAGGAACATAGCACGATTATAATGTGTGACAATAACTATACCATAAAACTGTCAAAAAAGCAAATCATGTATGAAAGATGCAAGCACATAGACGCTAAGTTTCACTTCCTAAGAAACATAACAAGAAATAGAATAATTGAGATATATCATTACAATTCAAATAATCAACTTGCAGATGTATTAACAAAGCCTTTGAAGTTGGATTCTTTTTACATTACGAGGACAAGACTTGAAGTATCCGAATTTAAAGCACTTATATAATTAATTATTTTTAATTTGAAATTTTTATATTTTCATATTAAGAGAGTATTTGCTAGACTTGTTATTAAGTTGGCTACTAACTTTGTATTAATTAGTTGAAGTTAATTATTCATTTATAAAAGTTACTTGTAACATAACTATATTGTATATAAAGACCATTCCATATTAACAAAGTAGATAGATTTCCCCTGCACTAACTCTTTATAAAAAAAATATTTTATTTATCCATTTAAGTCAATTTGAATGATGGGGGAACTGCGTTTGACCGAAAGGTATGACATGGCGATTTCTTAATCACTAAACAATAACAAACGTTGCAAAATCAGATCAGAGGGTTAAAAATACCCATGAATCAAATCATCTTCTGATTCGATTTCCACCAAACAACGCATGAAATGAAGCTTCGCCTTTCATTTTTCTTCTCTCTGTTCTTCTTCTTCATCATCTCCACCTCCATCGCTCATGATTCCATCTCCTTATCCCAACAACTCTCTCCTTCCCCTCTCGTTCTTCCACCATCACCGTCAGTTCCAAATTCTTCTTATTCTCCATTTTTCATCATCTTATTCCGATCAATTTTAATGATTCTGACATTTTCATTCGAAAATTGATTGTGCAGAAAACCTGCTACCGCACTGGTTGCTGCCCTAGACGGTACTGTTTATCTAGTTGAAAGCGCTTCCGGGAGGGTAATTTGGTCTTTTTCAACTGGATCCCCAATCTACCATTCCTCCGCCAACACTCCGTCTTCTGGACTCATCGAATGCGGTGATGACTGGGAGTTAATCTTCCACGATACGCACTTTGGCAAAACGGTATTCCCATTTTAAAGTGTATGTCTTGTTTTTATTACTATGCTTTTATTATATAAATCACTTATAAATAAGTACTTATATGTTGAGGTCTTATGCTATAAGCGCTTAATTAGGTTGTATATCTAAACAAGGTCTTGTTGTGATGTCTGTTATGTTGATTTTTCTTCAATAGTATGATGATAAGTTGTGTTGAAACTTGAAACATGTAGAGGCTTAAGGAATCTGTTGCTGATTATGTTGCTGTTACACCTATTGTGTCTAAAGATGGAGCTGTTATACTTGGATCCAAAAGGAGCACTGTATTTGAAGTCGATGCCCAAGCTGGAAAGCTTCTTAGAAGTTATGGTGCTGCTGATTTTCATAATGCTTCTACTACTGCAGTGTGGAGTGGTGACAGGGACAGGGAAAAAGTTAGTACCGTTGTCGGTGCGAATAATAACGAGCTTGCTGATCCGGGAAAGCTTAATTTACCGGAGTTCTTGCTCCAGATAGTTAGGACTGATTATTTTTTACAATCTGTGGGTCCTGGTTCAGGAATAGTGATGTGGACTATGTCAGTAGCTGAGTTTGAAGCTGTATTATTTTGCAAACATAATGAAACTTCTACCTTCAAGGCTTCACTTGATGCGGAAGGGGAGTATGCTTCTGATGTTGAAAGTGGTTTGGATTTTGCTATGCCGTATGCGTGTCCAGAGAGTAAACTCAGAGAAGTCTATCGCCAGCGAAAGAATTTTCTGTTTGAACCTGCTAAATTTGAAAGGTTATCTGATGTTAGTTCTTATCAAGAAACTGGTATGCTCCCGATGCCGGTTTCTCATCTGATGCTTCCATCACAACCTAAGAGTGAAAAATTCCTCCCCGGTCACAATGGTAATATGATGCTTCCCGGGCCTGTGCCAAAATCTTTGCAGCCAGAAATCAGCTTCTATGATAGTAATGATAATAATGCAGTTGTGCTCCCTCAGTCGCTTATGGAAATTGCTGCACCAAGGGAAATTGATCTGAACAGGGTGATTGAATTGTCAATGACATTATTGGCTGTATTATCTGTGGTCTTTCTTCTGGTATTTTACCAAAATCGATCTACAAATAAAGCTACATTGAAGGTCCAAATCAGTGACTCAGATTTGAAAAGCCCACCTTCTAAGAAAAAGAGAGCACGTAAGTCAGGAAAAAACAATGTCATTGTTGAAAAACAGGATAATCATCTGCATTCAGTTGAGGAGAATATACGAATATATAAGGAAGCAGAAAATGAAGCGCGGTTGCTGTATAGTAAAGTTAACGGACGTAGGATCGGTAAACTGCTTGTATCTAATAGAGAAATTGCGAAGGGAAGTAATGGTACCATTGTTCTTGAGGGGATATATGAAGGTCGATCAGTTGCTATCAAACGTCTTGTTCAGGCTCACCATGATGTAGCTCATAAAGAAATCCAAAATCTAATTGCTTCTGACTTTCATCCAAATATTGTCCGATGGTATGGCGTGGAATATGATCACGATTTTGTTTACCTTGCTCTGGAACGTTGTGCATGCAACTTGGATGATTTGATTAGTATTTATTCAGATATGTCAGAAAATCCAGTGCTAAACAAAGATCGAGCTTTTGAATTTTTCAAGAAGGCCCAGATAGAGACACAGTGGGATGATACACAGTGTCTTTGGAAAACAAATGGTTATCCATCTCCTCTTTTACTAAAGCTGATGAGGTTAGTAAAACAACTTAATTTGATGAAGTATTACAGGATGCAGTATATAATTGTCACACTTCCTACGTAATTTTAAAAAAGAAATTTAACAGTTCTCTCTCTGACACGGCAGAAGAAATGTTAATTGTTGAGTTAAAAGCAAACACATCTCTGATTTTTTATTTATTTGTGTATAGTTGGTATTGTATGCTTTAAACAAACTTAAATTTTTCGGATTAGTGAGATTGGAATGTATGGATGAGTGTTACCGTCCCATCAGTAAATGGTGCAGCAAAACAAGATTAACATACTGTTGTGATAAGGAGGAGTTTTTTAGGATTGAGATAAGGAGTTGGCTAGGAGGTAAAGTAAAGCGGATTTTGTTAGGATTTAGGAGTTAGTTAGATAGTTAATTATTTACTTGGAGACATATTTGTATAATTAGAGGAATACAATTATAGAGGGGTATGATTAAATATTGTAACATTTGTGAATAGAGTAGTGACTAGTAAAGGGAAATCCATGGGAGGAGAGATATCTCTTCTATTTTCTTTTATCCTTTCTTAATCTATCAATAAAATTAATTGTTCACTCTTTTCAACTCTAAATTTCCAACACCTGCCCTAAATGTTTTGATAGTGTAGAAGTAAAAGCAAGGGCTTTGTATGATGATTCAATTATAGGTTAAGAAATATTTTTTGTTAAGGTTGATGTGTAGGAGTATTGCTGCGAATAAAGAGAGATGATTTTTTATAAATAATAAGGATGTGTTATAAATAGGGGTGGCAGATCTAAGATAGCAGCTTCGTTAAAGAGATTATGAGATGATTTACTAGAATAATTTGGGCATTACCTTGGAATTAGGGAATCCTGGAGGACGAATAAGATACATGGACGACATGAATGGAGGTAAAAAAGAAATGGTAGTAGCAAAAAGGTTGAAGGATAGTGAACAAAAGTGATTTGTAAGTATACATGATGGGCCCTATTTTGTTTCCATCTAGGACTACTATATTTTTTTTCCATCTAGGACTACTATATTTAAGCCAAGTATTAGAGGTTGACAGTTCTTCATTTATTAATAGAAGATGAATCCCCACTTTCTGTGTTTAATTTATACCTATTTATTTATTTATTTTTGTTGACATGTTGACTTTTGCTTTTTATTGCAACACAGGGATGTGGTTTCTGGGCTTGTTCATTTGCATGAACTAGGAATAATACATCGCGATTTGAAACCCCAAAATGTTTTGATAATCAAGGAAAGATTATTATGTGCCAAGCTTTCTGATATGGGGATTAGCAAGCGGCTTCTTGAAGATATGTCTTCATTAGGCCATAGTTCTACTGGTGAGTACAAAAGTTAAGTTTGTGTTTTTTAGCACTCACTATAGCTAATTAGCAATGTTGTTAAACTCGGACCAATCCTGGGCTCGGTTGGTGTACTTAAGGTCAGTGGGTCACTGGCCGAACCAATGAATCACTAGTTAAGCCGTGTGAACCCATATATATTCGATGTATAATGAATATAAATATAAAGATACATATAAATCATTTATATTAGAAATAGATTATTTATTTTCCTCATATATATGATTAAATGATAACTTTGTCTAGCGGTAAAATTTCCGTTTTGAAGCACTGATCAGTGTATTTTTATACACGATTCAATCCGGTTAGATTAGCTTGCGGTTGAAATGAGGCTGAACCAACCAGTGAACTGGCCAGTTCCTGCTGAACCGGTCAATTCAGTCTGGACTTCAAAACGATGTTGTAATGCACTTGTACCAATATTATGATACTGTGTGCAACATAGTAAACTGGGAATAATTTATAAAGCGGAATTTCCTTCAAATAGGCTGCTTATTCCAAATTTTCAAGAGAATCTTTCAAAATTTGTCCCGCGTGAACTCCGATCATATCAGCAAAAGTGGCAACCTTTCCCAAATCTGGTAAAGCAGTTCAGCCGAATTTTCTGGTTTTAACCAGTTTTCTGATATCATCACCGATCTAATAGCATTTCCGATCCAATATCGCAACCGAATCAACTTTGGGCCTGATTTCCGCCTAACAGGTCTGATCGGCTGCTCTGGTTTTAGCAACATTGTTAATTAGTAATTATGTCTAGTATGATATAAATCTATCCCTATATCATTTTGGCGATCTATCTACAAGTATATTTCAAAACTTTTTCTCATATTTTGCCCTTCATTTTTTAATTTGAGTGGGTATGCTTTAGCACACTTTATGTATTGCTGAATTTTACACAAGAATAGTTCTCCAACCACAAATTCTGTATGCTTTTGTGACCACTAAATATGCTGATTCAAACATGCACTTATTGTGTTAGTCTAATTCTACATGTTAACCTATGTAGCTTAACTGGTTCATTCTTCATTATTCTTTCCATTACAATAATGTTTAATGACTTAATTGCAGGCTGTGGTAGTTCGGGTTGGCAAGCTCCCGAGCAGCTTCTTCAGGGACGTCAAACACGGGCTGTGGATTTGTTTAGTTTAGGTTGTGTCCTCTTTTTCTGTATGACAGCAGGTAGACATCCATTTGGAGAACGTCTTGAGCGTGATGTTAATATTGTTAAAAATAAAAAAGATCTTTTCTTAGTGGAGTTCTTTCCTGAAGCCGAGGATCTTGTTTCTTGTTTATTAAACCCTGACCCCAATCTAAGGTATGTCATTTTCATTCAATGTGACTTTTAGGAGATTGTAATTTTATTCTCCTGCACCTTTATTAACAGTTTGCATTATGACATGACTTAATTGATATGTATGTAGCATAAATGATGGATTGTATGTGAAATATTGTTTAGTTTGCTAGTTGCCATCTGAAGAACATGTCAATTGGGATTATTCCTCTTGTGTTTCAAAGTTCAAATCAACAAGATGTTTTTATATTAACATGTAGTGGTTGATATTCTGCAATTTTATTCTTTTTCGAAAACTGGTCATCTGCTGATATCCGTCAGACTCATTTTATGACACAACAACAACAACCAAGTCTTATCCCACTAAGTGGGGTTGGCTACATGGATCAATTTCTGCCATGTGACCATGCTTTTTATCCAAATACTCATTTTAAGATGTTCTGTAAATTTTAAATGATGCTTAATAAAAATAAATTATGACTCAGAACAGTTCATCCATGTTAGATCAAGGTATTCATCCTGAATGCACTGCAGAAAGCAGTTACTCAGCTTGTTTTGGACCTAAATGCACCATGTTTCTGGTAGATATTTACATCGACCAGAAGCTAACTTGAAGTGTGTGTTTTGTCTGGTTAGAAGCCAGCATTTTCACTGATGAAATTATTTCATTTAATTGTCAGGCCAAAGGCGATTGAAGTATTGCATCATCCTCTATTTTGGAATTCTGATATGAGACTTTCATTTCTTCGTGACGTTAGTGACAGAGTGGAACTTGAAGATAGAGAGACTAATTCCGATCTTTTAAATGTATTAGAGAGCACAGCTCCAGTGGCTTTAGGTACAAAATGGGACGAAAAGATGGAACCGGCTTTCCTTGCTAACATTGGTCGATACAGGCGTTATAAATTTAATAGTGTTCGAGACTTGTTGAGGGTCTTGAGAAACAAGCTAAATCATTTTAGAGAATTGCCTCTAGAAATTCAGGTTTCTTCTTGGACTAGTAGTATTTTTTGTAATTTTCTTTTCCCTTATTATCTGGTTGAGGATTAGGCTTGCCTAAATAAGTTAATTCAGGTTTCTTCTTGGACTACACACATAATTTATTATTTAATGGCTTATCAGGAATTGATAGGACCTATTCCAGAAGGATTCAATGAGTACTTTACAAGTCGATTTCCAAGGCTGTTGATTGAAGTGTACAAAGTTATCTGCAATTATTGCAAAGAAGATGAATGTTTTCAAAGGTATTTTAGAGACATTGATTAATGCATTAGCCTTGATCAGATAGATAAGATGGCTTGTTAATTTATCAAATAGCAGCAAAGAACTGTTGTCTTCATGCACCACCATGAAGCAAATTATGTAATTATGTAATGTTATGTGTATATTATTACTATTACTATATTATACATGACATGACTAGAAAATGTAAACCTCTTAGAGATGAAGGATTTGTAAAATTTAATGTATTAAAATATGATTTTTTTTTTTTTTTAGTTTAGATGTACTTTTGATTTCCCTACTTTAATGTTTTTTTAATTTTAATCTTCTATTTTAAAAATCAGTTTTTTTTTTCTTTGAACTTTACATCAGTCTTTCTTCAATTTAAAGACGTGGGAGATTAAAAAAAATGATTTTTAATGAGTTGATAATGATATTAGGATAATTTATTATTTAATGCAGACTTGGCAGATTAAAAAAATATTTTTAATGAGTTGGTAATGTTAGGATAATTTATTATGTAATATATTTTTATTTTATAAATTAATTTGTTTAATTAAGTATTTTTATAAATATATTTTTAAATGATTTAATAAAAATTTTAAAAAGAAAAAATATTTTTAATGGGTTGGTAATGTTAGGATAATTTATTGTTTAATATATTTTTATTTTATAAACTAATTTATTTAATTAAGTATTTTTATAAATTTATTATCTATCTATTAAAAGAATTAAAAGAGAAGTACTTAGAAAATTCAATTCTAATCCTCTGATTTAAAGTTTAAACTTTTTTAATTTCAGTCTAACTAGAGTCTTGCTGCAATATTATTCATTGGGAATTAATGCTGCTTATGTGTCACTCTAACTATTATCTATAATATATTTTTTATTAACTCTATTATTTTGGGTTATTCTTTGGTAGCAAGTTTCAATGAGCATTTTTTAATATACCATTGTTTATTATTAGAAAACATTGGTTAACTCTAAAATTACACGCGAATTTGAAAATAACGTACCCTTTAATATTCAAGAGGCATATGTGAAGACAGAAAATCAAAAACCGCTTCTTCTTCTCTTCATTTTCTCTGCCTTCTTTCATTTTCTCTTTCCGTCATCTTTTCATACAAATAATGACTTCTTTTACTAAAACCAATTGCGTCTCTATCTGAACTGTCACTTTCGCCGCCAACGGTATTGTAGAATCAACTAGATCCACCACCTGCGACTGCGTTAGACGATTGAAGGAGGGGGGTCGTCGGAGATGGAGTCCGAGGGCAAGTCGGTCGTCCACATTTGGCGCGAAGTAGTTGGTTCGCAGCGGAGCTCGATGTACTTTGTCATTGTTTCGTTGGAAAGGCTTGCACGGACTCATGAAATAGGGACTTTGTACGTTTTCGACTTAGAATTTGTTTTACTTCAAAATCCCTCTGTTTTTCTTCTTCTTAGATTTGTTATGGGGTAATTTGCAGGGATTCTAAAGATTGATTGCAAGGTTGGTGTTTCAGGTTATGTTCTCAGTTGCTGCTGATGTTAAAATTGTTATTGAACGTTGAACATCAATTGGATTTCGTTTCTACTATGATTCATCAGTTATTTATTTTACAGGACATGGATTCATTACAAGATATGATTCATCGGTTAGAACATCTTCATTTACTTCTACCATGAAATTTTAGATATGAATTTATTTTAGGTTGTGATTTTCACTCTTTCTACTTCTACTCGCTTTGCTGTATTTTTTGTGTTTATGATTTGCAAAATAGTGGTTTGAAAATTGAAAAAAAATAGTTGTCTTTACTAAATTTCGCAGCTCGCACACCAAGTGCTCGGTGAAATGTTTAAGTTGAAAAGGCATGCACACACTTTTCATTTTTTGACAACTTTGATATTTATTTTTGGGGTATGTTGTTTGAATAATTAGTGATGAACCTCGAATGATTTTTGTAATGATCAAACCATGTTTGGTTGCTTGATGAAAATGTGAATTAAATGCTGAATTTTCTTTAGTTTATGCATGAAATTAAATGAATGCTCATACTTAATGTTGCTGAATTTTGCTTGAAGTGGTATGTTATCATGTAGTTATGTTACTGAATTTTGCTTGATGTCAATGCTGAATTTTTTATCATGTTTATGCAAAATTTTAAACCATGTTTTAGTGCAGAATTTTACTATGGCAATGCAGAAATTTTGATCATGTTTATGTAGAACTTTAAACAATGTTTTAGCGCAGAATTTTTACAAAATGTTTGATCAGAATTTTTATTGTTTTGACGCATAATTTTAACATGTTTGGATGCAAGAAATGTTCATAGCTAAAGGATGGAATATGCAAACACATGAATGATGTATCAAACCTCAAAGACGGGAAGCTTCAAAGACTTGAAAGATTGGAACCTGATGACATTTATGATATTATATGTTCAATATTTCATATATGAATCTAAAAAGTAATATTATTTGAATTGGAAATAACTGTGTTATTGATAGGTTCAAATCCCTGAAGACATTTTGAATGCGAGTCGTTTAATCTTTTCAAGTGTGTGAGCATATTTGCGTTGTTATGGAGGTGTTAAGCAAATCTGAGTAATTTCTACTTTCCTTTTTCCCTTCAATTTATCTATGAAACATATGCACCAAAAATTGGCTAATAAGATATTATCTCTATCAAAGTGTTAGTTTACAATAGAATTGGTTAACAAATATATGGTTGGTTTTACAACAAGTTTGTAAAGTGATTTGATTTTTCATTTTATTTGCGTGATTTTGTTGATTTTTTAGGTTTGAGTTCAGAGAGACTTTCAAGAAGGAAAATCCTAACAACAAATTCGTTGATATGGTGAGTTTTGCGACGTTAAGCTATTGTTCTCCTTATATTTTTGAAATTTGAATTTGAGTTATGTAAACCCTATTTACTCTAAATTTAGAGTAGGTTGGTAAGGGTGGAGGAAAAAAGCATAAAACACCACGTCTCTGTTAGATTTCTTCTTCTACTTCTACCATAAAATTTTGGATATGGATTCTGTTGTAAATGTGCCTTAAAATCTTTGTTGATGAAGAGAAAGAAAACATATTTTGTAGATTGCATTTACCGCGAAAGTCGGACGAAAAGTCGAGAAAAAAATCGTACGGTGAAAAGTGTTGCCCCGTACGATGAATAATGTTGTCTGTATGATGAATAGTATTTTTGAGTTTTTGGGATTTTTCGATTTGGTCCATAGAACCATGTGATTTTGGGCTTTGTTTGTTGAGTATTTGTTATTATAAATATGTATCTCTTATATGTTTGGTGTGTGAAAATAGAGTTATTCTTGGGCGCCTTCTGGGTTATTCTTGGGAACCTGAAGGTGAAAGCTATTTTCTTATAACTCATATGTAATCTCTTGTAACAACTTTTTGAATATAGTGAATTGGAGAGATGCTCTCTCCCCAGAGTAGAGTGTTTGATCGAGCTGGGTAAACAAACCTTCGGTTTTTTTCTTGTCTTATTCTGTTATATTATTTGTGTACGGATTATTATTGCTGAAGACCGTTTGTTTTGGTTGCTATTGTTCTTTGTCTCACAAATTGTCTTATTGAATTTTGTCGTAATTCACAACAAGATTCACAACAAGTGGTGCAGTGAGCGTGGAGCAAAGAAATATTGTTGACAAGTGAGCACCATGATTAGTAAATGGCAGATCGAGAAATCTTCGGGTAACAAGGACTTCGGGTTGTAGAAAATTAAGATGCAAGCAATTTTAATTCAAGAGAAGTGTATCGATGCTTTGAAGAGTGAAGCATTGATGCCTGCAGGACTTACATAGTTATAGAAGACTGAGATGGTGGATAAGGCCAAGAGTGCCATTATCTTGTGCCTCAGGGATAAAGTTCTAAGACAAGTCGCCATGGAGCAAACTGCGGTTGCTATGTGGGCCAAACTTGAATCATTGTATATGACAAATTCTTTGGCTCACAGGTTGTATTTGAAACAACAACTCTATTCATTTCGAATAGTGGAGAACAAATCCATAGTTGAGCAGCTCATAGAATTTCACAAGATTATCGATGATCTTGAGAATATTGAAGTGAAGATTGATGATGAGGATAAGACTTTTCTCCTGTTGAGTTCATTACCCATATTCTTTGAGCACTTTAAGGATGCCTTTCTTTATGGTAAGAAAGATACTATTACTTTGGATGAAGTCCATACGACGGTGAAATCCAAAGAATTTTCAAATTAGAAAGATTTGAAGATTGAAGATAGTGGTGAAGGCTTAAATTTGTCAAGAAAAGGAGGTGAGCATAAGGGATGTCCAAATCAAAGAGATCTGACAAGTCAAAGGTAAAATGTTTTAATTGTCAGAAAATCAGTCACTTTAAAAGGGATTGTCTTGAAAGAAAGGTCAATGAAGATTATGTTCAAACTGTAGTTGCATTGGGCGAGGAAAGTTATAAGGATTCCAAAACACTAGTGGTATCTGTTAGAACACAGATTGATATTCAATATATCTTTATGTTTTGATGAGAACACTAATAAAATTTTGTATTAAGAAAATATATACTCTAATTTTGTTCAAGTGTTTTATGTTCCAGATATTGAATTAAATATTCTTATGGAAGCAAAAATGCATCTGAACATTACTCTACGCAAAGCTCTGAAGCATCAGAAGCAAGTTACGCAAAACGCTGAAGCATCAGAAGCAAGTCATCAGAAGACTCTGAGCGCTGCCAGAAGAGACTCTGAAGCAGAAGCTGTTGAAGCATCTGAAACGTAGCTGAAGATTTTGTATGAAGAGTTTAAAACATTGTTTCAGAAGACTCTGAATGTACTTTACGCTGCAAGTACAGAGGCTCTGATAAACAGTATGCTTTGATCAGATCACTCACGCTGAAGCACTATTACTGTAACTCTGATATCATTGAATCTGATTTGAAGAACAAGAAGCACATCAGAGGATCTGATGTTGTTTACGTTTGAAAAGATGTCAGCACGTGAATAGACTTGGTATTATTCTCAACGTCCTCTCCAACGGAACTATTTCTTATTTGTGATAGACACAAGG